TTTTTTGGAAAGCACAAACTTCTGTAACGGGTCGTGCTCATGTCTGTTAATAAAGAAATCCAGATCCCTTTGGGCTGCCGCCTGCCCTAACCCAGGTTCTCAACTCCTCCCACCTCCGAGGCCGCAGCACCTCCCTGCTACCAGGGGGCGCCCTCACCCGACTTACAAGGCCCGTGAGACACTGGGTGGGGGGCTGAGGCTTCCAGGGGAAGCCGCCTGGAACCTAGAACCGCCCGAGGAAGATTGATCTCAGACTTAGCTCTGCATCCTTAGGCGGTCTTGTGGCGGAAATGCACGTTCAGAGTTCTTCCTGCCAAGGCCCCGGCTTGTCGCCAAAACCCTGGGCGAAAGCAGCGGGTGCACCCTCCGCTTGTACCAAACCAGATCACACACCTTTATTATCCTCAAAATGTAACAAACGGGATAAGAAATCCCTCCCTCCCCCCGCCCCTCCCCGCAGTCCAGGGAAGCATTTAAAAAGCCCCGCAGTCAGGCCAGGAGTTCGCCGGTGGGGCCCGGGGCCCGGGGCGCCGGGCGCCCCTCTATACGGCTGTAGTCCTCCCGAACAAGGGGATGGAGACCGGCAGGCGCCAAGCTCCGTGCTCCAGGGGCTCGCGGCTGCTGAGCTCTGAGTCGGTCCAGCTGGGGAAGACCCGGCGGCCGCGGTCGGCCTGCAGGCAGAGGGTTGGGCAGGGCGGAGCGGGCCGAGGGGCGCTGGGCAGGTGCAGCGCCGAGTTGTAGCCCCGGTCCAGGAAGAGCGGCTTGTAGCTGGGAGGCGGCTGCTCCTGTTTCTCCGCGCTGTCGCGGCGGCTCAGGAAGGGCGTGACGATCTTGCGGTAGAGGCCGCGCGTGTCCGTGAGCACCTCGCTGTAGGGCGGCGGCGGCTCGGCCATCAGCACCGCTTCTTCGTAACACGGTGGTTTGGACATGTCCGAGTCCGCTGCGGAGTGGGAGGCGGTCGGAGGGGGTGAGGCCGCCGGTTTCCAGCCTCTTGCAGAGGCTCTGGCCAGGGATCTCCCGCGCCCCAGCCCCAACCCGAGCCCAAGCCTGAGCACTAGACCGCCGCCGCCAGTGTTCTCCCGGGGGCGGCGGGTGGAAGCCCCACGGGTAAGGAGCGAGCCCGCCCGCGCCGACGCCCCACCCACCCCCGGCGGCCCGGTTCGCCCCCTGGCGGAGGTCGGTACTCACCTTGGCGGGGGTAGCTCCAGGGCCGCGGCGGCACCGACAGGTGCGGAGGCGGCGGATGCGCGAGCGCGTGGTGGTGCGGGTGCGGGTGCGGGTGTGCGTGCGGCTGCGCGGGCCCGTGGTGCAGCAGCGGGTGCACGTGCACGTGCGAATGCGAGTGCGCGTGCGCCGGGGCCTCCAGGCGGCTGCGGTGCGGTGGTGGTGGCGGCGGCACCAGGCCCGGGGGACTCCCGGCCAGACTGCCCTCGAGCTCGAGGGGCTCCAGCTCTAGGGCACGCAGGTTCTGCTCGCGCAGTCGCTCCTCCTGGCGCCGTTTGAGGCGGCGGCGCAGGAAGCTGCAGAAGCAGCAGAGCAGGACGATGAGACCCCAGATGAGCCAGAAGCCGGCGAAGCACGTGAGGAACGTGTAGGTGCCCTGGGACATCACCATGGCGGCGGCACGGGCGGCGGGTCCTCAGCCGCTTCACTGGACACTGGGCTCCTCTGCGTGGCCCCGGGCCCGCGCCACACTCTCAGGTGCCGCCAGCGTCACTCGGGGACCCGCGGCCGGGGGCTGCCCGTGGCAGGTCTCAAGTCGTGCGCGCGCCGGCGGGGGACAACAGCGGCGCCCGCTCCTTCCCATGGCGCCGGCGGGCGCGCGGGCGTGCCTCACCCGGGGCCGCGCAGGACCTGTAGGGCAGACATAGGGCGCAGTGAAGGCGCGCCGCGGCCCCCGATGACTTCCCGGCCCCCGCCCGCGTACTTCGCAGTCCGGGGAAAGCCTCCTCCGTGGGAACCCCGCGCTCCCCTGGGGCCAGGTGACGTCACCGATGAGGGTGACGTCACGCTCGAGGTTTCCTCGGTAGGGTTTCCCCGATCTGAGCCCAGCCGCCGCGGCGGAGCCGGGGCGCTGAGGGGAGCCGAGGCGGGCCAGCAGGGGGCGCGCAAAGGCCAGACTCCAACTCTGAGCCCGCACGAGAGATTCGCCATCCGCAGCCTCCCGCTGAAGGTACCCTAACTGCGAAAGGGTTTCAGGAGCCTGTGCGCACCAGGTCGCTGAAGAGGCGTCTCGGTGCGGTTGCTGTGCTGCGGGGAAAGGGTGGCACATCTCCTAGAGCCTTACAGACAGCTACCCGGCGCCCTATGCAGAAGCCGGGCTGCCCAAAGCCCGGAACCGGCCCGGCACCGCGTCCTCCGGATCTGCACCGCTCCCACAGGAGAGCTGCAGCTGGTGGCTCCGACTCGTACTGTGTGCCACCGGCCCTGCCTTTGCGCCTAGCGCGCCGGGCGTGGGCCAGTCTTTCTCTTCCTTTCCTCCAGGGCGCCCTTGCCTACTACAACTCCGTTTTCCCGCCTCCTACCCGTGCACAACCCCACTTGGCTCTGCCTCTGTCTCCAGGCTGCCGTCTCCTTTTCCCTCTCAGCAGACGGGAGGAAAACTAGATGACTGTTGGAAGCTAGTCTTTCATATCCACCTGGTCCTGCACTCCAGATAGGCATCTCTAGTTCCGCTTCCTCCTCTCCACAGCCGGGAGGGGGTGGGCGGTGAGAGGGGGAACCTTGCACCCTAAGAGATAGGTAGGGGGGAGCCCTGACTCTGAGAGTGAAGGGTAGCAGGTGACTGCTCACCGCCCCCACAGAACAGAACTGAGCCTTTCCTGAATGCCTTATACACACAGGTTTGAACGAAAGCCTTTGGGGTAACTAGAATGATTCCTATTTTATAGATGAGGAGTGGGGAACAACTGGCTGTGTAGATGGCAGGTGGTGGAGCCATAATTTGAACCCAGGCCTGGCCACAAAACCCTAGCCTGGGTGGGGTGGGGGGGAGGCTGTGGCCTGGGCTACTTTGTGGGCCTCTTCCAGGAGCACCACGGACCCTCCTACCTTCAGCACACCCAAGGTACACACTCTAATTTGAGAACCACCGGGAGCCTGAGCCCCAAGCTGAGGGGAAGCCAGGCCATGGGCCACCCCACACCTCCCCAGGTGACACCCGTCTGACTCCATGGCTGCCTTCAGCCACGTGCCACTTGGTGCCCATGCCAGTCCCCTTCTCCTGGGCCTGCGTTCCAGAACAGACAATGGCAGGAACCATAGCTCTGCCCGCCCCCTCGACAACCCTGCCATGAAGCTGCCATGGTGACGCAGCCCAGATAAAAACACGATGCTGCCAGTCACTGGGAGTTAATTAAATCTGTTATTCTTTTCCTGAGCCATCAGGAATGCTCTGAGGAAACTGGCACTAACCAGAAGTCCCCCTGGCCTGCCAGGCAGGAACAACTCTGAGTCAGAAAAGGTACTTCTAGGGCTGGAGATGATGGGGGTTAGCTGAATTAGAAATATCTGTCAAGGATATTTCTCTTTCCAGGCAGAATCCTTTCATCAACACCACCTTGTCCATGTGGTGGTTGTGCCCATTTGATAAACAGGGAGATAGGATCAGAGAGGGAAATGACTTGCCCCAGGTCACACAGCTCAGAAGGGGAGGAGCTAGGATTTAGCCTGAACCTGAATCCAAATTCTGTGTCAAAACACTCCCTATGTGATAAGCCAGATGAAGTGGCAGCCATGGGGGCACTGGGCAGACTGGCCAGCTAATAGACAAAATGTACATTCTTGTTCCTTCCCACCAGGGCCCTGGCATGCCTGATCACCAGCCCCAGGATGCTGTGGAATAGCAGGGTGAGAAAGGGCTACAGGATGAAGGGGAGATGGAAGGGCAGCTCCACGTTAGCAAGAGACAAAAAGTGTCAGCAGGTTGGGCATGAGGCCAGACAGGGCAGGCCACACCCAGGATCTGCTGGGTGCCATCATAGCTGCATTTTATAGACCAGGCAACTTTGGGCCAAAGAGAGGAAGGTTCTTGCTTAAGGTCACACAGTTAGCCCCCTGGACCTAACCTGGCTCCAGCGCCCAGCTGGCGCGACGGGGGTTTGATGCTGAACACCATCCCTCGTCAGTGTCACACCAGGCCCACAGGACTGCATTCCTGTCTGACGCCTCTCTCCCAGGTGCTCAGCAGACTCTTATCTAACCCACCATAGGTCCTCAATACATAAACATCAGAGGTTCATTCAGACCTTTCAAAATGCTCTACCTGACTAGGCCAGACGTTGCAAAGCCTCCGGAAAAAACTGTGCCCCTTACTGCTCCTTTACTACGTGAGTTCTTGCCCTTGTCTGGGAGCCTTTCAGACTCAGAGCCTGTCTGCAGCCTGTTGCTCCCAGCCACTCCCTCCACTGCCCACACTGCTCCAGACTGCTAGTAGCAAATACCTGCCTCTTCCTACCCAATGCGCTCAGGGGCCAGGAGCTATGCCCTTTGGATGGACCGAAGTCTGCTATTTTGTTACTTACATTCTGTTTGTTTTCTTTTCTCTTTTCTTACTTTTTTTTTTTGGCCAAGTTTTACTCCTGTTGTCCAGGCTGGAGTGCAATGGTGCGAGATCTCAGCTCACCACAACCTACACCTCCCAGGTTCAAGCAATTCTCCTGCCTCAGCCTCCCAAGTAACTAGCTGGGATTACAGGTGCCCACCACCACGCCTGGCGAATTTTTGTATTTTTAGTAGAGATGGAGGTTTCACCACATTGGCCGGGCTGGTCTTAAACTCCTGACCTCTGTTGATCCTCCTGCCTCAGCCTCCCAAAGTGCTGGAATTACAGGCGTAAGCCGCCACACTCAGCTCTCTTTTCTTTCTTGAAGGTTATTTGAACATCTTTTAGGGTTCCATCCTGATTTATCTGTAGTGTTTTTGAACCATATCACTCTGCATGGTTTTCTTGGGACACACACTCACTGGGAGCATGGCAGGGGGATGAAAGCGAGACCCTGGGTGAGTTTGTTAACCTCCAACTTGCCTGAGTTTCCTCACCGGTGAAGATGAAGCTAATCCATGATGGTGGCTTCTGAGCTGAGGCTGCAGAGATGTGTGTGTCCCCGGGGTGCTCCCTGCCTGAGGGCTGGGCACCACAATCTCTTCAAAGCAGGCTAGCATTCTTGTCATTTGGCAGATGAGAACACTTGGCTCAAGGAGATTAAATGACACCCAAGGGCACACAGAGCCAGGGGCTGGCTGCGCTGCTGTGGGCACCTCCCACACTGCCCTCTGCACAAAGAACCCTACACTTCAGGCTTACACGCCAAAGCACGAACGATCTGCTACTGGGTCCTTATCTCAGCAAAGAGCCCACCATTCATTCCATCCACCACAACCTCTGCAGAGTAGCATCTGTCCACCTCCATTGTTCCTCCTGCCACTGCCTTGGCCAGGCCAACACTTGTCTTTCCCCTGGCCCCCATCATCATGCTTACCACTGTGTGGTGTCCCTGCCCAGCCTAGTCACTCTTCACAACACCACATTGCCTCAGGAGCCAATCCAGCATTTAACATGGCTTAGATCCGGGCCTCTCAAACTTAAGCATCAGAACCACGTGGAGGCTGTTAAAACAGTGCTGGGCTCCATTCCCAGTGCTGGATTCAGTAGGTCTAGGATGGGGCCTGGGTGTGCATTTTTAGCAAATTCCCAGCAGATGCTGGTACTGCAGGGCCAGGGAGCACACTTTGAGAACCACTAGTCACCCGGAAGAGCTCCTGCCAAGGCCTCTTAGGTCCAGCTCACCTGAGCCACTTCACCCCCCAGGGATGGGAAGCCCAATGATACCAGGATGTTCTGGGGCAGCCAGGGTCCAGCACCATCAGTCTTACCAGTCGGCACCCTGTAAGTAGCTCAAGAACCACCTACGGAAGGAGAGACTGGAGGGCTCATTACCTGTTTGGCCTTTTAGCTGTGGGACTGGCAGTATCTCAAGGGCTGGGTCTACATCCAATTCATTCCCAGGAAGTGTTAGCCATTCACCAAAATGTCAAAGAGAGAAAAGCCATCACCCAGCCCTTGCCTGGCAGGGTGGTTTATAAGCAAGTGGAGAACCGATATGTCTATGTAAATCAAAGGAAAAGGCTGCATGGAGGCACACACCAGGGCGCTGGGGGATGGGGATCGGAAACCCCAGGCAGCAGGGGCTCTGGGTCACACCTGGACTTAAAGCTAGAGCTGCTGGTCTTGAAGGGAAGGGACAGGAACTCAGAGCAGGAGGTGGCAGCTGGGGGACTGGACAATCTGATAGCCTGTCCTGCGTGCCATGCACATGCCAGGCCCACTACTGGCCTCTATGCTAGTTATCTCACGAACGCCCAGGCGGTGGCTGCTGTTCTCTCTACAGACAAGGATGTAGGCACAAGGAGTGGGTCCAGCTCAGGTCTCCATAGCCAGATGGTGTGAAGCCCAGGTGATGGATGACAAAGCCCCCAGTCCTGGCAGGAAGGGCATTTCAGGGAGCCCACTGGTAACATCCTTACACCCCTCCCACACTAACAGAGGAACTGAGGCCAGAGGACTTGACAGGACTTGACTCTGGTCCCACAGTCAGCCAGGCTTGGAACTGGCCAGAACCTCCCTCCATCTAGGTCAGGGTACTGAGTGGCACCCTTGCTTGCAGGTAGGTGACATAACCCTCACACCAAGCCAGGAACCCAGGGCTTGGGAAACTACAAATAAGACCACAGAGAATGGGGCCCCGTTGGGCTTATAGGTGGAGAGCCCTTACTCAGGCCAGTGTCTACTGTGCTCAGCTCCGGCTCTCTTCAGGGCAGGGTTTTCGGAGACCAGGTTCCTCCACTGAAACCTCAGCCTGTGGCTCTCTGTGCCTGCATCCCTGCAGCTAGCATGGAAATAATGATCTGACCCTCCAGGGAAGGTGGCCACAGGGGGATGACGGTGATACCCTGGTGGGGGTAGCCTGGGTAACAAGCAGAGTGCCAGGGGATAGCCCTGAGTTCAAATGTGGCTTCTGCCCTCACTGAGCCATGTGATCCCATTCTGGCTACTCCCATATCTGAGCTGAAGTTTCTTCAGCAGTAGGACAAGGGTGCAAAGAGGAGAACAGAACTCCCTCTAATGAGGGATCACCCTGCAGCCTCAAGAAGCTCAAATGCAGAAAGCAGCCCATGGCGCTACACTGTGCACAGCCTGGAGGCGGCCGAGCAAAAACTGCTGTGACCTCCACGGACCAGAGGTCTCAAACACAGGACCCTTAGGTTGGACACAGTTCACAGACATGTTTTTAAAACAATCCATTTTCACAATCAATTTTTTAAAAACACTCTGATTAATTGCCAACATTTAAAAATCCAGGAGATTGTATATAAAGGTCTGGATTTCTGGCTCATCTTGAAAATTGGACAGTCAGGTCATACCAAGTCCACATTTCACACGGTGACAAAGATTGGAGCTGAGAGGCTCCCTGGCCCATCTCACTCATTCCATTGCCCCCCTGATCCTGGAAGCATTTGGGTTTCCAGTGCCTGGAGCTAGACAGAGCACCCACAGGCTGCAGCACTGCACAGGCCCATCTTCGCTAAATTTTCTCTCCCACAGCCAAGACTGCAAGCTGAGCAGGCCACGGAGCCCATGAGCCGAGGACCAGGGGTTGGGGGATTCCCAGGGGACTGGGGCAGCCCTTTGCTGCTTGGTCTCACCCAGAGGGAGAAAATGGAGGAAGGAGGAAGTGAAGAAGGGATGGAGAAAGCTAGCCCTGTCCTGTAATCCATCTGGGGGAGCAAGAATTTGGCTGATTTTGCTGGAAGCAGAAAAAATGTACCAAGACATTTTTTGGGAATGTCCTCACTAGATGAAAGTGCAGGAAGGTTAAGAATGCTCTTCTAGAAGGCTCTACGGTTCTTTTCTGCCTGGGTTACAAGAGAAGTTAGATAGCAGGCAGAGAGGGGCTTTGCCCACAGAGAAGTCTGCACTATAGACTCAGCTCTGCCACTTACGGGTAGTGTGACCTTGGGCAAGTCACTCACCTCCCTGAGCCTCCCTTTAGAGTCTTCATCTCTAAAATGGGGATAATAAACTTACCTTGTGCAATTGTTGTAAAAAATTAGGAGATAATAGAGGCAGAGTGCTGAACACAGGTCTCACAGAGCAGGAAGGAAATGAAAAGCACCTGTGAGTAATTCCCCAGGCGCCCCTGCCTGCAGGAGACTCAGGCCTGACCTCCAGGGCACCACCCATCTATGGGCATCTTATGCCAAGGCCTCAAATGCCAGTCACCTCTAGTATGCCTCCCCGGATGGGAAAGGAAACCCAAGGGCGGTTGTGGTCGCTGGGATGCTGGATCTGAAGCCCGTGGTCGTGGCTGGCATCTGCTGAGTCAGGCCTGGGAGAGCTGGCAGGAGGGCCATTTCTCTCTCCAGCATGATGCCTGCGGAGGGGAGGTTGGGAGGGGAGCCAGAGGTCATTTCCTCTGAGTCAGAGGCCATTCTCCTCCCAGAGGAGCTCCCCTGGAGGACCGGGCACCTCCATGTGGCCCGGGCCTCCCTGCCGGCCAACCTGCAAGCCACTCAGTACAGTTGGGGCATTGTGTTCAGACAAGAAAGGGGCACTTGTGATCCAGACAATGGGCTGGGTCGCTCCCATTTGGCCTGGGCTTCAGCTTCCCTGGGTCAGCAATGTCCTTTCCTCTGCTCCTGCCCACTCTGCTTCCACCCCTCCCTGGAGAATGGTGGCTAGAAACTCGGAGCAGAGACTCACCGCGGGCCCCTGCCCGGTGTGGCACATGCCCTGGCTGTGAGGAGGAGGAGGGATGCAAGCTTCGCTCCTCTCCCCTGGTAAGAAACATCGCCCCTGGGGGAACCCAACTCGACTCAGGTCATGTCCAGGGCTGGCGCGATTAGGCCCTGGGTGTTGGTGGTGGTTGGGTGGGTGGGAGGCTCTATGGTCAGAGACCCCAGACCCAGCCTCCGGTGCCTCCTCCTCCCGTGACAAGCCCAGGGGCTGGGCCACCCCCACGTTTTCAGCCACCCCAGGAGCCCTGCTGCGACGACTGCAGCCACGTGGGAGCCAGCCCGTGCCCACGGCCGCTCGCCCCCACCCCCACCCTCGACGGGTTGTGGAGGCAGGCACACCCAGCCGGGCCAGAGGGGCGACGTACCCCCGCCGCGCACTCCTCTCCCCCTGCGCCCCCGAGCTGCGGGCTCGTGTGGGGGGAGGGGGGAAAGGGGGGAGGGGGCGTCGCCGCCCCGCAGTCGTGTTGCCGGGGAGCGCAACCCCGTTGCTGTGGCAACCGTTTCCAAGCGAACTGGTGGCGGCTCGCGCCCCGCTCCGGCTCCCTCGCTCACTGGCGCTCTCCCTCCCTCCGGTGTGGGCTGGGGGAGGGGCTGCCCGCGGCCCAGGCGGGGGTCCGGGGCGGCGACCCGGGGCCAGGGCGCAGAGCTGCACGCGGGGAAGGGCTCAGTCCTGGGACCATCTTCCGCCCGCGCTCAGTGCCCGCCCGGCCCGCAGCCGCCGCGGTACTCACGGGCCCAGGCATCCTCCTCGAGCTCGTTCTCCTGGCTCGGGGCGAGTGGCGCGGGCCCAGCGGACAGAGCCCCGGGCCTGCGCGGGGAGGCGGCGGCGGCGGCGGCGGCGGCCCGGGGGAGCAGACAGTAGCAGCGAAAGCGGCTCCGAGCGCTCGGCTGGAGCCACGGGGCGCGCGCACGGGCGCGTACACGGCGGGTGCTGAGCCCGGCGTGCGCGCGCGCGGCGGCCGGCAGAGGGCCCCCCATCCCCCGCCACACGCCTCGAGGAGGCTGCCCCCGGAGGGAAGGAGGGGGAGGGCGGACACCCACCTGCGGCGCCGAGACCCGACTCTCTCCAGCCTGCCCGGCTCACACCCGCCAGGGCACCCTCACAGGGGAGGCACGCGCCGGCAGACCCGGTGCACACGCCGGGCTGGAGCCCCGGCCACACCGGTTATGCACGATGGATGCCCAGCCAGGCAGCTGAGGTCTAGAACCCCTACACGCACACAGCTCAGCTTGGAGAGCACACACACGTCCAGGCCCCGGTCACATCCTGACAGGCGCTGCAAACACGCAGTGGGCAGGGCCCCCGAGCAGGCAGGCACCCCAATGTCGCTTCCTCTCAACTCACGACCCCTTCCGTTAGGTGCCCAGCAGGCGTACACCACCACATGCCTACTAGCAAGCACCATGGGAAGGAGGACCTAGTGCCAAATCCACAGCCCCGGCCTCTGTGGACATGCCTTCCCCTAGGGAACAGATGACCCCTAGAGAGGGCCCCACTGTCTACCCCGAGGTCCAATATTGCAGAGGCCATTCTGAACCTGGCTGTCCATCGGCCTTTTAACTGGGCTATTTTTCGTCCAACTTCTCTACTGCACTTAAGGTATTTTCCAAAAACACCCTCCACCACCACATCAGCTGGGACATTTGGGGTTGCAAGTGACAGAACCCTCAAATAGGTTTAAGCTGTACGCCACATCTACCAAAAAAAAAAAAAAATTAGCTGGGCATGGTGGCACATGCCTGTGGAGAACTGCTTGAACCCAGGAGGCAGAGGTTGCAGTGAGTCGAGATCATACCACTGCATTCCAGCCTAAGGAATGGAGTGAGACCCTGTCTCCAAAAAAAAAAGTAAGAAAGAAAAATAAAGGTTTGAGCTCAAAGGGGACTAGCTCATGTAACTGGCAAGTCCCAGGGTAGAGATTCTAGCTTTGGTCACAGTTGCTTCCAGGTGTTCCCTCAGTGGCATCAGGTACATACCTGCTTCTATGTTTGCATCAGTCTCAGGCAAACTCACCCCAAGAGGTAGCGAGGACAACTTCCATAGCCCTAGGCTCATATCCTGCCATCTGTCCCTGGGGGAAAGAGAACCCCAATTGCTTCCCCATCATTTGAGCAAAAAACAAGCAAACAACTCCACAAATGATTGTTTTTGGACTCATTTAGGCTGAGTCTCTATTGGTGAACCAATCTAAGTGCCTGTGAGTTAAGGAGAGGATATGTATTCCTTATGCCCAAAGGGAATGCTCTCCCAGTATCCATTCCCTTTTCTTTCTATACAGACACCCTGATTTCATCAGGGGAATTATGGCCCTATGGGTGCCATCCCTGCGAGCCTGTGAACCCAAGTGCACTGCTCCCTCAGCACACAGTGGCCAAGTATCCAGCCTGGCCACTCAGACTCCTTGGGTTTGCAACTGAGCTCAAAGATGCAAAACCAAACGGCTCTAGCATCTTGGTAGGTGTGCCCTGATGAGAATAGGCTCCACAACTAAGACCCCGGAGCTCCTCCATATCCTCCGAACACCTTCTAAGTTAGCAGGAGGACAGTTCTGCCACCTGGCTCTCTCACTCTAGGTATGTGTATGGAGTATGCATATGCAGGGCGTGCAAGCATAGCCCCATCTAAACCACATGGACAGAGACTGGGGGTGCTTTTGTAGATGCTGGAGCAAACACCCCCAACACAAGCAGTCAAAACCCTTCAGGGAATCCCCTACCTTCCAGATGAGGCCCCATCTGGGCCTTAACCCCATCATCCTTAACCCAACTTTCAAAGCCAGCTGTGTCTCGCTGACCTCAGCTCCAGTCACTCCTTGCTTCCACCTCTGGCCTCCCATCCTCAGCCATCCTAAAGCACTAAAGCCCTAGACCATCCATTTGGCTCTACCTGGGCACAACGGTCCCTGTGTCCTGGAGGGCACCAACAGATACCTTCACGGTCAAGGGGCCTCCTGTTTGGTGCTGTCCCACCCCCAACCCTATCAGCTCTAGAATCCTCTCTTCCACAGTGCTGATCACACTGGGTCTCGCTGTTCCCACGTCTGCCTCCCTACCAGACTGAGCTCCAAGCTGCCAGGGGCCTCATCTCCATCTGGGTCCCAGCTCCCACCACAGAGCTGGGCATGGAGGAAAGCTCAGGGAAGCTTCCTGGGAAATGAATTCTGGGAGTTCCCTCTGCCAAGGACCCATTGTGGTAAGAGCTTTAAGGTGAGTTTAACCCTAGCCAGGAAGTTCCCTGGATGCCTCCCTGGCCCAAGGGGGAGCGTGGCCAGGGCAACTGGATCCAGGTGTAGACAGAGTGCCTCAGGGTCCTGCATACCCACCTGGCACTTCTCACTCTTGCATACCTGCCCAGGGCTGGGCTTTGGTCTGGCATGCTAACACCTACCTAAAAATCCCCCACTCCCACCTCAAAACAGCCTGGGGCAGAGGGGCAAACCCATCCAGGCTCCATTCTCATGTCACATGGGTAGGATCCAGCTTTTCCATCTTTACCTGGCTTCCTCCCCACTCTGCAATGGCAGAGTTAGTTAGTTAGTTAGTGGGAAGACCTTGAGCAAATCCCTCCTCCCCTTATTTCCCTTAGGTTGATGGGAAGCAGCGGGCACTCCCCATGTCCTGAATGGGGTCACATAAAGGCCCCTTCTGCCAGGCTGCTGCTCAGCACCTTCTGGCTGTGCTTAAGCCAGCCAGTTAGTCTGTCACTCAGCACCACAATCTCCCCAGCAGGTGAGTCCTGTGGTGGCTTGGGAGCTCAAGGGGCTGACTGGCTGCTTCGGTAGATTCTCACAGTTGCTGGGCAAGTCAATGGGTCTCACACCTATCTTTCCATACATAGGAAGGGCCTGTGCAGAGCCAAAGTGAAAAGTGGTCAGGCTGGGGCTTGAACCTGGAGCTGTCAGCTACAAAGCTTATGTGGCTCCTGCAGCACTGGGTGCCCAGTCCAGAGGCAAGGAACAAGCTCAATGGGGGTTATGGGGCATTCTTAGGGGGCTGGGGACACTGGGACTCTATAAAGCAGTGATGGGGTTCCAAGATCTGGACAGACTTGTGGGCAACAAACTTTCAGCCCCAGTGCCCATGCAGAAAGCTCCCCTGAAGTGCCTCCCAGTCCCCCTTCCTCCCAGGTGAATGTCCACTTCGAGGCCAGCTCAACCGCTATCTTCAGAGAACCTTCCCCTACCAGCCACACCCTACCTGCCAGCATCACCCACAGTCTAGGTCTTTGCCCATAATGTGTCAAGGGCAAAACAGAGGGGTGGGAATGATGCACGTGCACCAGCCCAGGGCCTGTTCACGGCTGGCATCCAGGTAAGGCAGGCCTGGGGCAGGTGTTCCTTACACAGCTCCACCCTGCTCCCGAGCTGTTCCAAGTCCACATTTAGGCAGCCAGGCCACCTCAGCCTTGGAGGGCAGGAAACCAGCAGGGCCCACCTTACCAGCACACTCAGAAACAGACCCACATTTCAGGGGGCACCCAAGGCTTCTTTCCTTAGGCCCCATCCCATTTAGGAAGTTGGGAAACCCACTGGGTGAGCCTAAAGGCTACCAAAGCCTGGCTGCCTGGAGAGGCCACCTCAGAGTCAGCCCTGGGGGCTTCAGGGCCTCAGGAGGGCACACCCTTCCTCCCTCCAGGCCCACCTCCAATCCCTTCCCACTGCCAACTGGGCCAGTTGCTTCCTGCTCGGAAGACCCCTGGAGCACTGGAAGCAAGAAAGAGGCAGGCAGGGGCGGCTGGCCAGGTTTGTGCTCAGACTATATTCACACAGAGACACGTGGCAGCTTACATTGGACAAAATGAGTAATAAAAATTGGCTTTAAATATGGAAAACACAGGGCCCTATAATCCCATGCTACCCTAACACTGGGACCAGGATGGCCATCACAGTCTGGGAAGGGCCAGGGCTGGGGCCTGGGGCACAGGCACAGCCTCAACTTATCCCCTTCACCCACACAGGTACACACACACGCACGCACACCCCACAGGCGCACACAGGAAGGGGCAGATTATTGCTGGGCACATGTGTCTATTGTTATGAGGGGAGTCCGGAATGTTTGAGGGTTGTCCAGGGATGCCCCACCCCCTCCTAGGGGCTGGGCTTGGGCGTTTCTGAAAGAGGTGTCTTCAGGACAGGGCCTGGCATCAGGGACCAGGCCCTGGGAGCTGGAAGGCAGAGGCAGACCTATCTGGGCCGGCTGGGGCAGTAGACTGATGGGTCTCACAGCCAGCCCAATCTCTGGCCACTTTGGCACAGGCCTAGGGGATACAGATGCCCCAGATCCAGCTCTTACAAGCACTGAGAAGGGACAGCTTTGGGCCCTACAGGGTAGCAGCCTGAGCCCAGGGCAGCAGGGGCAGGCATGAGTCTTACTCAGAGGCTGGGGAGGTGTAGGGGTGCGGCCCAGCACAATGCTGAGGACTCAGGGCTGTGACCACCCTCAGCCATCCAAACTGGGCCGGAGGAGCCTTGAGTTTGGCAGTGGCTCCTCTGCCAGCTCCCACTCTCCCAGCCAGGGCTGGCTGCCCCCAGGAGCCAAGGCAGGGGCGCCAGTTCTGCGGTGGGGATTAAGAACGCTCTGGTCGCTATATACATTCGTACAAATACATAAATACAGAAAGCCCCGAGCTCCACGGAGAAGAGCCGAAGGGACGCACCTTTGTCCCAGGGACAGCCCAGGCCTTGCCACACTCAGCCAGGCCAGGGGCTGAGGGGTGGGGGACACTGGGGACAGTTCCGTCTGTGTTCCCCAGGCCACAACTTGAGTGGACAATGGGGAAGACCACTGTGCAAAACTGTGAACAGCGCTTGGAGTAGCTGCTACCGCCAACTGCCGGTGGGGGCCTCAGGCTCGGGGCTAGAGGCGGGTGGGGAGCTCTTCCTCACTGTCGCTGCAGTTTCCACAGCAATCCTGCAGGGACGGGGAAGACATGGAGGGA